TGCTGATTGCTACAGATGAGCAGTTCCAACACATCCTTGTGCCTATATACAGCAGCCAAGCACAGGCTAAGGTCTTTCATGCAATGTTACCCAAACCCATCTTCCTTCTTAGCAAAGACAGAGCTAGTTTGCAAATCCAAATCCCCCAAATTTAGGAGGGGAGTGCAGGACAGTCAGTTTTGGCTCCTTTTTGACAAAAATTTTGCTGTATTGAGCCGAGCTGCAGCAACTGTCTATCGCCGCTGCAAACGCAAAGTTATGCGCCACGTCTTAACAAAAGAAGATTAAGCAAAATTGCTTTGCCTTACAGTTGGGATGGGCTAAGGGCAGGAGCGTGGGCTGATGCCAGGAGGAAGGCGATGTGCAGCAACCTGACTGTGAGTCGGTATTGTTCTGGTTACAAACGGAGTGATAATGTATGCTACAGGCTGCCTGGAACGACTCCAGGTGCCTCATATGGGCTTTATTTTCCCAGGAAGGAGGAATCCCTATCAAATCTGCACTAAGGTACCTTGCCAAAAAACACGGTAGCTGGTGATTGCAGGACAGAAAAGCTCGAGTCCGATAAAGTGCACTCATAAACTTTTAATTTGAGGCTGTTGGCGAGGCGTGAGCTGCAGTGCGGACGGAGAATCAAGACGCGACGAGGTTGCAAAGCAGCAGGAAACCTCCTCAGTCTTTCAATCCCCCCAGGTTTGAGAGAGGCCAAGAGGACAGTTTCATTATGGAGATCGCTGACATCGCACCCCTCAGGAAGATGAGGATCCGGACGGACGGGAAGGGGACTCGCCCGCACTGGTTCATGGAAAGGGTAATGCTCTTCGTGTCGCGCGGCTCTTTGCAACCTGCTCGTCTTGAAGCCTCTCAGCCCTTGAGAAAGAGGAGAAAGGCAGCAAGTGACTCATTTTTGTTAATTTCCTACATCTTTCCATTTAATTTCTCTTTTTTTTTTTTTTTCCTGTGGGAATTGAATCAAAAAAGAAGAGAGCAAGGGTAAAAGCTGTCCTGTAAAACTGCCATGGTCTCTGCTGTTAGATCTCCTTCTCCCTCCCTGCAAAAGACCCTTGGCTTGCCACCCAGGGCACCCACAATATTTATATTAAGCTGAAAGAGTGGAGATTTAGATGAGATATTAGGAAGAAATATTTCACTGTGAGGGTGTTGAGGCAGTGGCCCAGGTTGCCCAGAGGAGATGCAGATGTCCCACCCCTGGAGGGGTTCAAGGCCATTTTCTTCTTGCATTTTGAAAATAGCATGCAAAACCGCTCCCACCACTTCTGTTGGTTGTATTTTCCCCAGGTGTTCTATCTCGGAAAAAAGCACAGTGCTTGCCTTCATCTTTTCTACCATTCCACCAGCCCCCCGTAAACACCACTTGTATTTGGGCAGTAAAATGCAGTTTGTTTGTTATGGGTCTCTATAATTATATTTCTAAGATAGAATACATAAAGGGATGTTAAAAATAATCAAGTTACAACCCTCTTGCCATGGGCAGGGACACCTCCCACCAGCCCAGGTTGCTCAAAGCCTCATCCAGCCTGGCCTTGAACCCCTCCAGGGATGGGGCATCCACAGCTTCTCTGGGCAACCTGGGCCACTGCCTCACCACCTGCACAGGAAAACATTTCTTCCTGATATCTCATCTCAATCTCCCCTCTTTCACCTTAAAAGACAGAGGTGGAGTGATGTGCTGATTCCACACCATCAGATATCGTTATAGGGAGGTACATACCCCTGATATGTTTATCTAGCATGCTTTTTCTAGAGGAGGTATCCTGCTGGACTTCTCTATTTTGACTTTTATATGAGGTTAAGACCCAACAGCTTAACCTATGGTCAGGAAGAATAACACGGGACTTCTTTATTGGGTCTTTTATCTTTTTCGACCAGTCTGAAGCTGTCCTTCACTTTCCCATAACTAACGTGTTTCTAAACACTGGTCCTAGGTGGCTACTAGTTTCCAGACAAACTCCTCTTCACCTCCATTTTCATGGTCTAAAAAACATTTCTGTGGTGCAGTACTTTTTTTGTATTTGAGCATTGTCACTTCTAAGTTTTTTTGTCTCAGCATCTCTTGTGCAGCTTTCCAAAGCATTAGACCTCCAGCATATATCTTCCAAATATATGCCACAGACACACAATTTTTCTCTCTGTGCCTAAGGAATAACTCAATCTGATCTCCGATTTGATTCAGTTACCTTGGTCAAACTCCCTTTGCCAGTTCCCCGATACCTTCCCCTTGAGTTTTATAAATCATATTCCTATAAAATGAAATCAAATAAAGCTTATTCATCCAGAGACATTCCGGATCTTCCAGTCGTGAATTAGCAATAGCTCAAAGGCAAGGGGTAGTGGCAGGTAGCATCTTCCCACCTTCTTGTTGACAGATGTGTCCAGTTGTCCATCCTGCTGGACTGTCCCACACAAAGTAAGGCTTTCCTAGAGAAGTGGGCAAAAAGATCTCTCATTTGGACCCAGAAAATGGGTTTGTAGCCCTCTTATACCTCTACAGAAGACTGGAGTACACACACAATTATTTGAGACCAGGATTTTAGAAGATTTTGAAAATTTTTACCTGTGGTTTCCATTTTTCTTAGAGAAACAGTGCATGGAGGATCTTCTGACTCCAGTGATAACAGAGCATTTTATTTATTAGTTTTCTTTCCCACCTTCCCTGCAAAGGTAAACACAGCATTTGCATTCCCAGGCAGAGAGTCGAGGACAGGAGTGCTCTGGAAGAGGGGAGGAAGGATTTGTGTTCTCTGATTTGTATTCCAGCCTTGAAAACTGATGTAGCCTGGTGTGACATGAAAACTGATCGGAGCCCATTTCCATTTCTGTCAAAAGTGCATATTAAAACTGCATAATGAAATACTTGTGGGGGTAGTGCTAAACTCTCAGACAGATGGTTCACAGTTAGCGCTAACTAGCACAGTGAAATGAGAAGCTAGATTAAGCCATCAACCCCATGATTAACCATTTGTTGCTCCATTTATCTACGGGATATTCTGAGTTTTCTTGTTCTATTAAAATAACAATAAATTATCTTTTTAATTCTCTTTGGTCTTTTAGTAAACAGTTGCCGGTCATAATTTATACTGCTTTTAGTTTACCAAAAATAGAGGTGTATAAATACCAATTGAAATGCATGAATTATCAATGATGTTGTACACAGCCAAAAGATTCAATTTACAAGCAGGGAAGCTGTCTTTTTCTTTTTTTTTTTTTTTTTTTCTGTCTCGATAAAATACATTAGAATTTCATTCAGAATCTCAGCAAAGTAATGAATTGGGTGCCAAAGGTTCAAACTGCACCAAAAGTGGCAATAAGTTTTAAATGCTGATATTTAATCCTCTAGAGGGAACAAAATTGGATTAGTGATGTGTTGGGACAGAATGAATATTATTGATTATTGCTATGTACGGAAAGACATACCAAAAACTCTCCAAAGCTGAGCAACACTTTCTAATCTCACTGGTGCTGGGTGAGACATAGAGTTTGGATTTTTTCCTCTGACCTAATGCTGAATCTCATGTTCCTCCACATCAAGCTACCATGACACAGCTCTTTGTTTCTGAAAAATCAGAGAACAAAATAATAGAATCACAGAACGGTTTGGTTGGAAGGGACCTTTAAAAGTCATCAAGTTCCAACCCCCTGCCATGGGCAGGGACACCTTCAACTAGATCAGGTTGCCCAAAGCCTCATCCAACCTGACCTTGAACGTTTCCAGGGATGGAGCATCTACCACCTCTCTGAGCAACTTGTGCCAGTGTTCCACCACCCTCATTATTTTTTTTGGGAAAAAAAAAAAAAAAAAAAGGTGAGTTTTAATTAGGAAACTTATCTAAATGCATACTTTGGAAGCCAGTTCCTCAGTCCCCGTGATGATTTCATCTGCTGCCCAGTGTCTTAGATATGAAGTTGAAAATGTAGAAATAAGAAGGGATGAAAGCTGTCTGAGTGAAATAGCAGGAATTGAGACTGTTGAATTCTGCAGGGTTGCTTCCCTCAGAATTTTAATGTTACTTTGTGCTGTCAAAGCCAGACAGATAAGAAGCTGCCTTAATGAAGCACTAATTGCACTGCATTCAAACGTCACAAATAATCCTGAATGTGGGACTCAGTCTTTATTCAGTTCTTTTTCCTTTGTATAAAGGAGATTAAGAGAATTGGAGACAATGCATTATGTAGCTGAAGCTGACTGTTGTTCTTTGCAACAGAGAAAAGTCTCTTTGTTTTACAGAGGACCCTGTTTTTAAGCGAAGACTAACGATGTCCAACAGAACCATAAAAACTTGTGGTTGAGTCATTAAAGATGAATTTCAGGACCTGTGTATTTTGGTGTCAGTGGGGTGTTGAGCCCCTGTGGAGCGTGTTTTACACTGCAACTGGGGGAAGGCTGGTTAGAGCTAAATCAAATGATTGGACGTGTCAAACCTTTCTGATACAGCATACACCGCACAATTCATTTCAAATTTCTGATTTAAAGTTCCTGTCAGCTACAATATTTGCTCATCTATAAAGCGAATTATCAATGTTTTATTCATACACACAGCTTCTGCTTTTTTTTCCATAGTATGAAGGTGTTCTACAGCCCTGTTAAAAAAAGTTTGAGCTTAAAAGCACGCAGGATGTCCACAGCAAGTTCTAGGTATCCTAAGAAATAGTTTAGATGCAAATGTAAAGTAGCAGTCTTGTTGACAAATAGTAGCTAATTTTTCCGAGAGGAAGAGACAGAAAATAAGAACAGTCTTAGCCCAGCTCCCTGAGATGACTTTCTCGACCCTCCTGATGGAAATCAAAACCCTGCATCATCCTCTGTGTGTGCAACACCCACAAACATCCCCTTGTAGGCTGGGATTCATTTTGTGCTATTTTATTCACTGAAAAAGCTGCATTCAATTTCCACCTCTTCCACCAAACTCCTTAAGCCTCCTCTGTAGTCAGCAAAGAGAGAAATCTGAGAGAGGGCGAGATGCCTCCAATGGCCTTTGGGTGGGATGCGCGTCTTCACCAGTGATACCCGTCTCCAACAGTTGACCACAGGGAAGGACAACGTGATGCTCTTGGGCTGGATCCTGACTGCTTCCATGAAGCTGCATAGGGATGAAACCACTCATCCTGAGCAGAGAGGCTGGGGATGGAAAGAGAGGGCATTTTTCTTCGGCAGTTTTAGTCGCCAGACGGTTTTTCCCAGACAGCATCTGGAGCGTTGGGCATGGGCTGGTTATTTGTGAGAGGTCTGATCTCTCTGTCTGCGAATGCTCTCCAGCTGGCAACTCTAATCTGCTTCTACCCCCCACTGTTTGCCTGACATTTCCCTGCAAGCTTTGCTCAGGATATTTTGCTACTAACACTGTTGTTAGCATTCCTGAGCAAGGCAGAGGTAGAGCTGCCTGAACCTTTTCCTGCAACGAGTTTATGCATAAATGAAAAAAAAAAAAAAAAAAAAAGAAGGCATTTTTGGTCTACCTGAGACTATTCACGATTCAAATTTGTCAATTTTAGCCAAAGAAAGGTTTCTAGGTTGGATTCCTAAGAGGATGTAGGCATCATTCGCGCATCCTTGAGAGAGGACGCTTCCTTCTGGTCTGCACCCCAGCAGAGAGGGCACCAGCTGGGTTGGTAGAGACCTAATTTCAGCTTGGCTCAAAGCAGAGATTTGATTCAACATCTCTTGACTCACAGAGCAGCTTTTTTTGACCACAAAGTAGTCATGTCACCGGCTGTGAATAAGCAGCTTTTTAGAAAAGTGGGGCAGCTTCAACAACCCAAAATGTCCTGTACCTCCTGGGATGAAGGTGCTGCGTTACAGATCCCAGTTTAGCATCAGACAGAGAGAAAACCCCAGATGAGTGTTCTACCCATGGAACTGTACAATGCACAAAATAGCACAGCTGCTGCTTCAGCTTTGGTGTAGCCATTGTCCTCTTTAAAATAATTTGTTATAACCTAGAGCAATGTTCTTCTTTCAAACTGCTAAAGGCTCCAGCAAAACTTGGTTGGGGTCACCAGAAGTGCATGGACTGGGACACATGCAGTTTGAGGACAGAATTGGAGAACATCTTATCTCAAGATAAGTTTTATGAGTTTCTTAGGCTGATATGTGGGAGTGCAGCAGAAGGGTCACTAAGATAGTCAGGGAGCTGAAGCATATGGCATGCTAGGAAAGGCTAAGTGTAAATGGAGTTTAAAGCCTTGAGAAGAAAAGGCTAAAGGGGAATCTAATTGCAGTCTTCTGCTGCTTAAAGGGATGTTATGGAGACATCAATCCAGTCTCTTCTCAGAGGTGAACAGAGAAAGGGCATGAGGCAATGGACACAAGCTGCAACAAGGAAAATCCTGGTTGGATACAAGGAAAAAAAAAAAAATCTTCCCAATGAGAGTAATGCAGCCCTAGTATGGAGGCCCACAGTGCTGGAGGAATCTCCGCCCTCAAAGATTTTCCAAACTCACTTGGACATGGCCTTGCAGTTAGCCCTGCTTTGAGCAAGAGGTGTGACTAAAAGGTGTCACTTTTAACTCAACATTTTTCCACAACTCCACGATTAATTTCTTCCTGAGGTCTAATATCTATTGTTTTCTGATGCACCTGGGCTCATGTTTCCATGGCCTTTGCAGAGATGTGCCTTGCAAGATGCTGTTTCTTGATGCACTTCATTCAGGTGTGGTCTCTGTTTCTGTTAGATGGTAACAAAAATAGTAATTTGCAGCCATCTCCTCCCTTCCCTCCAACTCCCCCAATTTAGTGAGAATCTACTGCTAGGTTCTTGCTGCAGACAAGTGTAATGCCTTTCTCCTGGTCAGCTGGTGCTCTGCTGAGCCCACATTGAACAAGACACATAAAATTGAGTATTTTATTAGATGTTTGTTGGAGTATGTCACTGGCTTGTTCTAAATAGTTTCCTATCATCCCCACAGCATCTGAGCTCCTTCCCATTACACTTTGGACGGTGTGACTAGTATCTGTTGCATACTGTTTGTTCTGTCACCTTTCCCCGGAGGGAGAAGAGTGTGAAACATGAAGTTTTACTGGCCTAATTTTATCTTGTGCATTGCTTTAACTTGTTTGGGGCTGGTTTGCATATCTCTCTAAGGATTGTCGTATGTTTGCACAGAAGAGGCAGGTGAAAGAAAGATACTGTGTTCTTCAAGGAGAGGTAGTGAGGTTTTTAATAACTCTTTGTTTCTTCTTCTTTGGAATTAATTCCATCTTTTCTTCCAGGAAAGGTCTGACTCTCTTAGAGATGAGCTTTGTCCATAATTTACATCAGAGGAGTTAATTTCTTCCTATGCTTTCCTCCATACCTAGAAAGGTCCAATGAGGGTCCAGTTGTGAAGACCATTTCTCAGGACAAGTCACCACAGCAAATATTGTCCATAAAAGAGAGGTCCGTTTATCCCAGAAGAGCTCAGTACAGGTTTTTGAAGCTATGACCAAGCTCTACCCAGGTCCTACCGCATTGTGCACTTCATAAGTTTGATCTTTGCTCTCAGATGAAGTTTAGTTGAAGTTTTTTCCCTTATTTTGTCTCTTCACAGATCATCCTGAGGAACCTGACTAATCAAGAAGTGGCCACATTCACCTATGGTGAGTGGCTGTCAAAGCTGAAAAATGACAAGGGAAGTCTCGTGTGTGAGATGCCGGCTGTTGTAAATGACGAGCAGATGATGGAGGACACAACATACACTCTTCAGGTTAAAACCAGTGATGTCGGAGGTACGTCCGTGGTGGATATTTTATGTCTTTTCCACTATGAAGTTTGATTTGTAGCAATGGAAAATATCTCCCGCTTCATTTGAAATTATGTTTTAAAAAAGCATAATTTATAGAATCATAGAATCATAGAATAGCTTAAGTTGGAAGGGACCATGGAGGTCATCTAGTCCAACCCCCCTGCAGTAAGCAGGGACATCTTCCACTAGACCAGGTTGCCCAGAGCCCCATCCAACCTGACCTTGAACATTTCCAGGGACGGAGCATCTACCACCTCCCTAGGCAACCTGTGCCAGTGTATCACCACCCTAAGCATAAAATATTAAAAATTTAGCCCTGTTACACTGGAACACCTCCTTTTTGGCTGGCTGTTCATCATGACTGTTATGCTATGGGATTCATCTTCCTCTGAGCACTGGACAGAAAATATTTAGACACAAAACCTCAATTTGACTGCTCACTGCTTCCTCTGAAAACACTTTAGCAGAAGCTATCTCTAGACCATGTTGCAATGGTCAGGAACCACCTTTTTCGTTTTGGTCAGGTCAGGTCCATCCACGTAGGATGGTTACAGTCAAAGCTGATGGGGTTCAGGTTATCTACTTTAGCCAAAGAGAGGAGCAGTAATTTACCCTCCTTTTCAAGGTGTTTTGAGACCATTTACCTCAAGCTCTGAAAAAAACATCCCTAAATGCACACCAGATCAAAGAGGTGGAACGGAGTATAAAGAAAGCTGCAGAGCTTCAAGATCCAAGAAATGGGATTTCTCTGTCATTTCCTGGGATCACTGCCTTTTTTCCTGAGAACTTCTGTCGGGCTGCTGAATGAAATCTGCCAACCACATACAAGCCGCCTCGTGCCAAAAGTGGGGCAAGTTAGACATTATTTTGCAGACATCTTGTTTGAAAGGCTCACCTTCAAAGGGGATTCTGCCACACTAATGCACATAGTCACCTCCTGATCTCTATCTTTTTTTTTTTTTTTTTTTTGGATTTACGAGTGATAATTTATGCAGCTGGTGAGGTTTGATCTGAGAATATCAAAATTCGCCTGGCAGAGTGTCTTTGTGCCACCTCACCATTTTTTTATCTATCTGCTCTGCCTGCTGCTTGTCTGAAAAACACGTAGTGAAGCATGAAAAACAAAAGAGAGAGAGGAAGATTTGTTTATGTATCTGGCAATCCATCTAGCATAATGGTAGATCTTTCTGTGACCTTTTTGTGAAATCCAGCCCTAACTCACAAAGGCGATGGAAATAAAAACGAGAGGAGAATAGAAGATGACAGCAACAGCAGACAAATCTGCCCTTCCCGTTGAATGAAGGATGATGGGTATTAATGATGAAACATTTTATTTCATTATGAGCAGCGACAACCAGTAGGAAAGAGCAGATTACGGAGAGGTTTCAGACAGTCTGTTTATGATTCGATCACACAACACACTGACATAATGCTGAACTTTATCCAGCTTATCTAAAGAGGGTACAAGTCAAGAACCATCTCCCCTCTTTGATTATTTTGCACTCCATGATTACTCCTGGTTGGACCAATTCAGGAAAAAAGATGGTTTATCCTTGATGGTTATTTTAAACATGTTATATTATCTCCTGCCACACTGACATTGTCTAGGGACAGCAGTGCTCTACTGTGAATAGAACCAGACGTGTTCATGTCTAGGTATAAAGTTTTTTTCTGCAATAGCTTTCAACTTTCCAATGCACAAGAGGCATTGAAACAAACAAACAAAAAAAAAGAAACTGTAGGGTAGGATTCATCTCACTTATTTATCACTCAAAAAAAAAAAAATTATACTTGTGGTCTTAACTCCTTCTAGTCTAGACAGTCTCTGGTCAATTCTTCTGGGAAAGGTGTCTTAATCAGTGGTCTGGATCATTCTCTGGAGAGTCTCTGTCACTCTGTCTTCATCAGATTTATAGAATCACAGAATGGTTTGGGTTGGAAGGGACCTTCAAGACCATCGAGTTCCAACCCCCTGCCGTGGGCAGGGACACCTCCCGCTAGCCCAGGTTGCTCAAGATCCCATTCAGCCAGAACCAGCATGATTAAGTTAGACTAGATGGCTAAAGCTGGGGGAAATGAATCCTGCAAAAAACATCCTACAGCAAGCTAGAAAGCAGCGGTCCTTTCCTCCCCACCATACACAAATATTTAACAACAGTCCTGTTTTATTTTTCCTTCAAATAAACCTTTGAGTTACAGTTTGGCTTTCCAGAAGTCATTCAACATGGATGACCATGTAACATACAGAGCCTGCATCAGGGAAAGACTCTCTTGCAAAAATCAAATCTCCTCTCTTGCAAGAGGTCATCAGAAGTATCTGAGATGGCAGCTCTCAGAGTAGAATCATAGAATCACAGAGTCATTAAGGTCGGAAAAGACCTCAAGTGTCACCAAGTCCAACCGTTAACCCACCACCACCTAAAGTGTGCACAGATAAGAGGAGAAGAGGTTGTTACGGCAGACACATCCCAAGAGAGTTGTGGTTGAAACCAGGATCTTGATTTACTTTTGAACTTAAAACAGAAGTAACTCACAATCTCATTTGCTTCAAGGTATGACCCAGGGACACAACTGCAATAGAGCTGGACTCCGTTGCTCCTTCTGTGGCATAAAAATGTCCTCAGCTGTTAATTTTGATTTATGTAGACTTTCTGTATTCTGCATGCAGGCATCATATACATAGTAATGCAATAAGAGTGGAGAAAGAATAAATACTGCTTTCTCCTTTTCCAAGCATTAACAAAGCAGGAGGTTTTTGTCTCTGCTGTTATAAGATTAATTAGTATGTTGTCAGCTCATCTACAGCCTACAAATGACATAATTTAGGACAGTAGGTGTCAGTTCCTACTGCCTCACCCAAGTCTCTGTTAAGTCAAAAGAAGGACATTCTTTGGCCTCAGAAGGCTGTGACTCAAGCCTACAGTTTGTTTAAAAATTATGCAGCTGCTCAATAAAAAACATAAAATCATAGATATTTTTGCTGGAAGGGCCTCTGGAGGTTATTTCATCCATCTTACCCCTTAAAGGACTACTGCCAGCACTAGGTCAGATCAGCTAAGACTCTGCCCAGACAAGTCTTGGACACCTCCAGGGGTGGTGATGCCACCACCTCCCCAGGCACCTGATCCAGACCAGTACTATATTCCTAAGAATTTTTTTTTCCTGATGCCCAACCTGAACCTCCCCAGTAATTTCTGGCTGTGGTTCTTTGGGGTATGGTCTGACATCTCCACAGCATCTCCTGTCACCATTATCACTGTCCCTCCACATGGTCAAGGAGCCCTTGTTCATCTTTCCCAGCTCAACTCCCTCGACCTCTCCTCAGAGTTGTGTTCCTGTCCATCTTGGCAACCATCTGCTGAGCCCGCCTCGGTGTCTCAACATGACCCATGTTATGACCATAGTCTAAGTATGGGCTGCTCAGTGCTAAGCAAAGGAGATGAGAGCTTCTCTTCAGCTGCTGGCCATGCTCCTCCTGAGGCAGCCAAATACATGATTTGCTTTGAACATTGAGAACTTGCTGCTAGCTCAGATTCAACCTGAATATGAATGTTCCTGCTATAACCTCTGGATCTTCTTCAACTCCCAAACATGTACACGTGCAGGGTTTATTCCACCCCCAAATGCAGAACGTTGCATTTCTCCTTTCTGAACTTCATGGGATTTCTGCCTGCCCAGTCCTCAGGTTTCTCAAGATCCATCTGGATTGGAAATCTGCTGTTCAGCATGTCGGTCACTCCCTCAAACTTAACGTTATCTGGAAATCTTCTGAGGGTGCACCCTGTCATTATTTAGGGTATTGATGATGAGGTTCAGTGCTGCAGACCCAAGTATGGACCCATGAACTATTGCACTCATTGACAATTAAGGCTTGTGCAACCACAGTACCTTCATCTCTTCATTTGTCAAATTTTTTACAGTTCCTAAATGTGCCGAAGAGTTTCCTGGAATTACAAAAAAAAAAAAAAAAAAAAAAAAAAAAAAAAAACCACCACCAAAACCAAAAAAAACCCCAACCCCAACAACCAAAAAAACAGAGACACAAACAGGTGAAATGTACATTGATTCAGCAATTTCTCTTCTCTTTCCTGCTAATTGCTTGCGAGGGAAGTGTCACGGCATGAGGTCTTCATAAGCTTCTTCCTGCAGGGAAGGTTTTGCTAAGAAACAGTCGGTTCTGTGCTTTTCGAGACCTTGCATTAATTGGGAGCCTGCACCTTGTAAGGAAATGGACTTGAGCTTGCTTTGTTCCTCACCTCAGCAAGCTTTAGGGTCATAAAAGGTGCTGCCAGATGAACTGCCTGAATCCCTGATACTTTCTCTTCCTTCTTAAGTCCTTCCCAGGGAACTGGGCTGAAAATTAGCCCAAATTTAACATAAGCAATTTTTCATGTGGACACCGAATGTTACTTTGCTTTTTCACTGTATGACTCTTTTTCTCCTCTTTTTTCCCTTCTTTTAATATTTTTTTTCAGTCCAGTTGTGATTTCTTCCTAATTTCTGTATTCAAATAATTATCCTGAAGAAGTGGCAGCTTTCTCAAAAAGTTTTCAGTCCCCCGGACTTTGTGTCTGCATTGTGTTGTGAATGAAGCTGTGGGAAATACTGCCCGTGTGGCCCAAAGTGGATTTACGATCCTCTTGTGTAAGAAAGGGCTTGGCAGGCGGTTGGAGTTTTCAAAGCTGGGCTATCTAACTGAGGGCAGCAGATGTTGCGTTTCTTTGTAAGACAGATTTGGGCTTGATGATCTCATTTTCATTTTCAAAAAAATTTGAGGGCTTTGGTCCTGACACAGTCACAAATGTCTGCCTGCATTGCATGTTTTTTTTTCATGAATCTGCTTTTTTATTGTCTCGTCAAAAATAAAAAGCAAACATTTTGATCAAATTATAATTAGTGCCAGGTAAAATTGTTGTAACACCTTCAGCTAAAATGTTCATAAATCACTGAAGGGGATGGTTTGGCCTTGAACTCTCCAAAAGTCAAGAAAATATCTGCACCAAAATATAGGAGGTCATGGGCATATGAAATTCAATATCAGGTAATAAAGATCATCTTAAAAATTATTCTTTTCCTAACATGTACATAAGAAGAGGTGGGAGGTGGTGGGGCAAACTGTTGTACAAGAAACTGGGCCGTTTTCTGTTGAATGCAGCATGGATAATATTTTGAGAAATGTGAATGCCCCATCCCTGGAGGGGTTCAAGGCCAGGCTGGATGAGGCTTTGAACAAGCTGGGCTAGTGGGAGGTGTCCCTGCCCATGGAAAGGGGGTGGAACTTGGTGATCTTTAAGGTCCCTTCCAACCCAAACCATTCTGTGATTCTACTGTTGTCATCATGGTCACCATACCTTAAACACAAGGGTGAAATGTTCCAGCTGGTTTTGGGGGACAGGCTGGAAAGGCTGGCTTTTTAGCTACCATGGGGTGTCCTCTTTGCAGGATCCTGCACAAATCTGCTAAAATTTGTTGGCTGTGTCCAGAGAAGCCTGAGCATCACTGCAGCCTCTTCCAGCCCGCCTTTGCTGCCTCCATTTCCATGCTTTGGAGGCTGGGTGTCAGGTCTATTAGCTTGTGACCATGTGCCTTGCTCTTCCCTTCCAGGAGCCGGCACCGATGCCAACGTGTCCTTGATCCTGTTTGGGGAGCATGGGGACAGCGGGACCCTGGCTCTGAAGGAGTCCAACAAATCTAACAAGTTTGAGAGGAACCAGATGGATGAATTCAACTTTTCGGACATGCTGAGCCTGGGAGATCTCTGCAAAGTGCGGATCTGGCATGACAACAAAGGTCAGGGTGGTGACTTGGCAGGGTGGGAGAGGTTGGGACACCTCCTCCTCTGTGGACATGGGGCAGTCTGAGGGAACTGTTCCCCGTGTTCCCAGCTCTGCAGTGGGATGGGTGATCTCTTAAAACCATTACTCCTCATAGCGAGAGGACGAGGGGTAATGGTTATAAGCTGAAAGAGGGGAGATTTAAATGAGATATGAGGAAGAAATATTTCACTGTGCGGGGGGTGAGGCAGTGGCCCAGGTTTCCCAGAGAAGCTGTGGATGCCCCATCCCTGGAGGGGTTCAAGGCCAGGCTGGATGAGGCTTTGAGCAACCTGGGCTGGTGGGAGGTGTCCCTGCCCATGGCAGGGGGTTGGAACTTGATTGTCTTTAAGGTCCCTTGCACCCAAACCATTCTATGAGTCTATGATTTCAAGGCTTTTACCTGCACCCTTGTCCCAGCTTGCCTGTCTGGGCATACGCCCATTGTGCAGGAGACCATATCTGCTCTAATGGGTCTCCAGCTTCAATCTGAGCTTATCTGCAGCACAGATAATGATAGCTGCTCCAAAGCGAAGCCATCCAGCCTGTTATCCCAACACGCTGACTCTATTAATGCAATGCATTTTTCCCAGGCCAGTATGAGCACGTTCTTAGCAATTTAATGCCCTCAGCCTGACACTGACACCTGGGGTAATGCAGCCTGGCATAACATAGTGGGCTTTAGAAGACAGAAATAAAGATCTGTGTCTGTCTTTATTAAAATCACTACATCAGCCGGTGAGTGTGCAATGCCCTGTCGAGAGATTTTGACATTTCCCTGCTGCTGGACACCCTAACTGGTTTCACAAACAGCAGAGCAGCGCTCACTACCACTGTCATCATCGTTTGTGTTATTATTCAGGCACTACGCGGCATCTTGTAACAAATGCATCCCTCATGCTGCTGTGATGACATCTCATCCCATCCCATCTTCATCTAAAAGAGATGATCTTCCACTAGCAATGACTTGCTTGCTAACGGCAGGCCCTTGCTGCAGCCCCATAGGCCCACTTGGGTCAATAATAACAGGGTGGCTTGGATGTCACGACCCAGCTCATAAAACCACCCTGGGTGGGATGAGTGGGGTTCTCAGAGGTTCTGTATATTCCCTTTGGGGCAAATTAAGGTGAGATGACACAAAGAATTGAATACTGGCTTACAACTTTAATGCATATAATTGTTCGGGCGGAAAGGGAAATGTAGAGAATAAAATGTGGAATGTAACAGAATTATAAAAGGAAAACAAATTACTTGGTAAAGACAATTCATGACAACACTACCAACTGCCAACAACACCAAATCTTACAGCAGTGTGATAACGTCAACATAATTTCCAACAATACTAGGAAACTTGCAACCACTTGTAAAACTTGCAATCACTCAACCTGCAACCGTTCACAACACTTGCAATCACTTTTCAGCACTAAAATGAACAACCTACAAAAAACCTGCTAAAAAAGCCCCAAAAGGAGCTGGCATAAAACTTGTAAGGTGTTACCATATGTGCCAGAGAGAGAGAGATCAAGAGATGCTTGAAGAGAAAAAAGAAAGAAAAAGGAGAGAAGAGAGAGAAAGGTTTTCACCACTCTTTGGATCCTTGGAGATAAGCATCGACATCTTGGGGGCGGGGGTTTCAATCAGTCTGTCAGCATCTCAGGAGTCCTCAGGTGGTTGTCACAAGCAACCTTCTCTTTGTTTATTCACCTTTTATAGAAAAAAGTTCTCAGGTCTCTGCCTAACTTTCTTCAATCGGCATAGGAAGCGATGGAGAGCAATGGAGGTGTCTCCCCAATTAGCACAGGAAGTGGAGAGGAGTGTCTCCTTAATTAGCATGGGGAGAACCATCTTTCTGAGCATGTGCAAGAGGGGGAAGGGTAGCATTAACCCTTTCAGCCAATTGAGCTGGAGATCATGCAGACCCTGTATTAGATTAACTTCGAAGTAGAGGCAGTGGCCCTACTCAGCAAGGGTTTGCTGCTTTGTTGTAAAAGTAAGAATAAGTCCTTTGTCAGTGAAGGGAGGAAAGCCTTCAGTGCATTCTTCACTTCTTACTATCAGCAGGGGATAGGACTAGGAGTCTACAACCGAAATGCTTTGAGACATCACAAGGCCTTACCTCATCGGAACCTTGACAGCCAGCTGCAGTTTTCTTGTAAAACTGCACGAATAGTCCGTTATGTTGGGCAGTAGAATTTATCAAAATCCTGGGAGGAATGGCAGCAGGACTACCCAGTCGTTGCCTGGTTGTGGTTTATGGCTGGGCTGGGGTTAGATGTCAGTATGGACACGTCCTGGCCATCATCTTCTTGGCTTCTCCAAGTTGTGGCAGATGGGGAAGGCTGCATCTCACGCAATATTAATAGAAGATGCTACCTCTGGATCAGAGACTTCCACTGGAAGTTTGCCTCCCTATTTTTATTTAAAAAAAAAAAAAAGAAAAAAAAAGAAAGAAAAAAAGAAAAAAAAAATCTTATTGTAACATCTGCCTGTTGGGATATACGGGAAACACAACCACCCACCTAACGTGATTGTTTATTCCCAGCCATTGCGAGCTTTGGGCTTGTATTTATCACTCCCACAACGCAAGATAATTTAGTTAATTAACCTCTGTAATACCATGTTGTATGGCTGGTGCTGAATGCAGTAAGGGAGTTGCTCTTACCTGATTTTAGTTGCCAAAACACTTCTTCTTTGATTCTGCAGCTGAGACACAGAAATGGAAAGGGCTATCAAAATACCCACTGGAGTTTTTAACTCAGCAAACAGGCATCCCTGCAGTTGCAAGGGTGGTTCGGATGTCCTGAGAGCAGCAAGAAACCAACATGGACTTGCAGATTCACTTTCAAATATATTACTAGCTAAAATGTCTACACAAAGAACATTTTCCTCCAGAGGCATTGTGGCTCCCCTGGTGACGGGTTGTGCCAATAGAATGAAATACACCCACCAAATCAGAGATGATCCTTGGGGCTCAGGCACACCAACAGGCTGGGATGTTGAGAGATGAGAACTGGATTTGAACGAGGGTCTGTTGAGCCCAGCAGCTGTTTCCAACAGCAGCATCATTGGATGACCAAGGAAGAGGAGGAACCGAGCAAGCGTGTGTAATCCTCCCCAAAGCCCTCTGCATCTTACTACGCACAGCTCAGGGCATCTCCTGAACTGTATTTTTATCAGTTAAGTAGCTTTCAGTGAATTTTCTCATTCAAGTGCTTGTCCAGACTCTCCAGGAGACACTTAGCACCCTCAGCATCCCATGACGTTGGGTCCCATGGGTCTGGTCTCTGCTGCATGACAAGCGAATCCTGTTTTTCTGTCTTTTCCTTCTTGTACAGGTGATCACAGTTCACCTTCTCTGATGTTGTTGATACACGTTGGGGAGTTACCTCATTGCAGCCGAGCTGTGGTCGTCACTATCCGCATGCTCTTGGTTAGTGGCAAGGGAAGTAAGAGAGTTTAGCCTTATGCTAAGCAGTAAGTAGGCTCAAGTAGTTTAAATTTGCTCTGGGTTGAGAGCATGTACCCAGATAGCCATGGTAAGTCAGTTAAAGTAGCTAACCATGCATCCAGAACCTGAAAAAATGCTTCATATTTATGAATAGAAATATATATTGCAACCTTTTCATAAAACTTGTTTCCATTTATAAATCATAAGTAATAGGGTTTTTACCAGACCTAACTGACTGCAACATTAAGTCTTGGAAAAAAAAAACATGTTCAGGTTTTGTTCAGCAAATTTCCCCCAGAAAGGACAACTGTAGTTTAAATCATAACATATGTTGTCTTCATTGTTCTTGCATTAGTCATGTGAAAGGCATATCCTATCTACAACTTCACACAATACAACATGACAGTTTGTTGGGTGGGGAGAGTGTTTATTACTGCTGGGATCCCAGGCTATAGCTATCCTTTACATACATGCTTGCTCCCTCTATATAATTTATATAAATTGGCTGTGCCACTGGTTAGAAGTTCCTGGCTCTATTTTTTGGAAAGAAGTAATGGGTTCAGGGGTCAAGAGTCGTGTATGTTTTTTGTCAGATGCTTGGGGGACTTTGAATATTAAACAAAAATGTGCTTGTATTTACCATTACTTTGAGGCATTAGATGTCGATCATTCTTTCTTTAGGGTTTGTTGGTTTTTTTCTTTATTGCATGAAATGGTTCTTTGCTATTCATCTGTGGAATACTCGACCTCCCACTATCCTACCCCATTGCTCCTCACATGCTGAATACTTGGGACATGGATGGTGTTCTTTTCCTAATTTTCTTAATAATTAGCCTTAGTAGCAACATCACAGAATCACAGAATGGTTTGGGTTGGAAGGGACCTTAGAGACCATCGAGTTCCACCCCCTGCCATGGGCAGGGACACCCTCCACTAGCCCAGGTTGCTCAAAGCCTCATCCAGCCTGGCCTTGAACCCCTCCAGGGATGGGGCATCCACAGCTTCTCTGGGCAACCTGGGCCACTGCCTCACCACCCTCAGAATAAAATATTTTTGCTTAATATCTCATCTAAATCTACCCTCTTTCAGCTTGTTTTGACCCTCATTAGGTGCCTTTAGCATGGACTAGCTAAGGGAACTACTAACCATCACAAGACTTCTTTTTCTTTCTGACCTGGTTTCAGCAAGCAGTCAACCAATCTGTCCCCATTTAAGGACAAAATACATTCAAACTTCTTGCCCAAAGTGGCTACTTTGCCATAAAGTCCAGCTCAGCATCAGTCCCCATCCACAAAGTTTTGTTGCAGTGGCTTTGCTCCCAGTTCACATCCTGGTTTGTTTTTTTTTTTATCCTTTCACTGGAATTTGACTCCAGTGGGATGTTTGGAGTTGAAGAGCCGGTAATTGCGATGGCAAAGAAGGTCTTTAAATCACAAACACTGCACTTGCCTACTCTGGAAAAACATGTCAGTTTTATGGTCCTACTTTAATGCTTTAAAATGTTGTTTTCCCCAGAAAAAAACTGCTGA